CCTGTGAGGTAGGCTACGGGGCTGTGACTGACTCCAAGGTTACCCAGCAAGCTTCAAGACTGAGGGGGGATTTGAACCCTGATCTCCCAGGTCCAGGTCTGACACTCTAACCACTACACCACACTGGCTCCCTAGAGCACTTCTGCTATGGGGCAGCTCTTTAAATTAAGTAGGTAAACAAGCATGGAGAAAGCAAAATGTCACTTAGAGAAGGATCTGAAATATTTTCCTTGAAGCTTGAATTTGTTTTATTCTGGATTGTTTTATCTGATGTTTCAAAGTCTTGCAAACCATTTTGAGATTTTCCCCCTTTAAAAGAAAGAGATATAGAAATGAAATGAATAATAATAATAATAATAAATTGCAATGTATAAAAAAGGGCACCTAGACACTCTGTTGTGGTGACCGTAACCTAGGTTTAAGGTCCCATTTGGTGATTAAAGGTAAAGGGACGCCTGACCATTAGGTGCAGTCATAACCAATTCTGGGGTTGCGGCGCTCATCTCACTTTATTGGCCGAGGGAACTGGCGTACAGCTTCCAGGTCATGTGGCCAGCATGACTAAGCCGCTTCTGGCGAACCAGAGCAGCGCACGGAAACACCATTTACCTTCCCGCTGGAGTGGTACCTATTTATCTACTTGCACTTTGACATGCTTTCGAACTGCTAGGTTGGCAGGAGCAGGGACTGAGCAACGGGAGCTCACCCCATCGCGGAGGTTTGAACTGCCGACCTTCTGATCGGCAAGTCCTAGGCTCTGTGGTCCCTTATTTGGTGATTAGCTTTTACTATATCTGAGTTTCTAACACTGTCCAGAAAGCTGCATTAAGTTTGACTGGGGTGGCCTGCATTTAAGCCTCAAAGCCGCACCCCCACTTTCCAGACAGATGCATTAGATGCAGACAGCTCCCAGGCTCAGTGACCACAGGCAATGAATGCCCTGAAGGCTGCTTGACTCCATCTCCTACAAGACAGACAAGAGATCAGGGTGTTGCATCGATTTTCAGGCCTCAGGAAGCACAGCATCGCTCATTACCAGGGCTGTCTATCGACCGCAATACTCTGCAAGTGTGCGGAATGTGGAACTGTGCACAGAATCAATCTGTCTGCAAAGCTCAGGCTTATTTGACTTTTTAAAAAAGTGCTTATCAGGCTTGGTTTTAAATCAAGAGAGACCCGATTGATTTGCAAGTAGACAAAGCCATTTAATTGTTGATTCAGGCTATTCCCCTCGACTGATCCTATCCAGCAGAGAATTGGCTGCCTGGCTACAGAGGCTCCTAACCTGGTTGCGCTGTTCAATGGCAGGTCAATGTGGAAGTAAGAACCAGCCTTATCTATGATGTGATCATGGATGAGGGAACTGAACTGGCTTGTGTAACCAAGACCTGGGTGGGTGAATTGCTTTTCTGCAATGCAGTTATCCAGCTAAGGAATGCATATAGCAGGGTAAAGGTGTTCACAAGAACGCATTAAAATGCATGTATTAGTGAAAATGACGTACAAAAATGCATCTTATTAGGGGGAATTGGTTGCAAAAATGTCTATATTGAGCGGAGTATATTAGGGAAATCTGCAATGAAATGCTGTGAATTTAAAGACTTAAAGAAAAAAGCTGGCGCGGGGAGAGATTGCAATTGAACACAACAGGCAGGTTCATAATTGATCACTGACATTATTGATATTTATCCTAAGATTATTAAATAGTCACTGCTGTGATAATTAAGTACATTGGTATAATAATGTTTTCTAGAATAATGTGTTGATGTATGATTATGCTGCATTTCAGTTTTTACTCTTTTAGTGTACATCTAATTGAAAAATGTAAAAAAGGGGGGAAAAGGAGGGCAACATGCTGAAACAGATCAGATCACTTTGTCACAAGTGGCCAATAGTCAGGTGCAAAATGCACCTTGCACCCGGCTAATTTCGAACACTGACCCCACTCATCTGACTGGGCTGACCCAGCTGATCTGGGCAGCTCCCAACAAAATATAAAAACACAATTAAACATCTTCCTGATAATTTGAATAATGTAATAATTTGAATGACATTAAGAAGAACCCTGCTGGATCATGCAAGTGGCTCATCTACTCCAGCATCCTGTTCTCACAGTGGCCAACCAGATGCCGTGGGACACACCCAAGCACAACCTGAATACAAAACCTGCACTTTCCCTTCCTGCAGTTTCCAGCTGCTGGCATTCAGAAGCATTACGATATATACAATACAATATCTTTATTGTCATTGTCCCATGCAGAACAATGAAATTGAAAAACTACATAAAACTACATAAAAACTACATAAAACTACTACAAAACTACATAAAACATTCAAAAACCCCTAAAAACTCTGAAACCCCATTTTAAAATACACTATACTATAAAGGTAAAGGTAAAGGTACCCCTGCCCGTACGGGCCAGTCTTGACAGACTCTAGGGTTGTGCGCTCATCTCACTCAAGAGGCCGGGGGCCAGCGCTGTCCGGAGACACTTCCGGGTCACGTGGCCAGTGTGACAAGCTGCATCTGGCAAGCGGTCCCTATTTATCTACTTGCACCCGAAGGTGCTTTCGAACTGCTAGGTTGGCAGGCGCTGGGACCAAATGACGGGAGCGCACCCCGCTGCGGGGATTCAAACCGCCGACCATGCAATCGGCAAGTCCTAGGCGCTGAGGTTTTACCCACAGCGCCACCCACGTCCCTACACTATACTATAGAGCCCCCTTATGCTGCGTTTAGAACCAGAATTGCATTTGCGTAGAAGCTGTTTCTCAGGCGGCTAGTCCTGGCCTTTATAACCCCATACCTTCTTCCAGAAGGCAGAAGCTGAAAGAAATCATTTCCGGGGTGCGTACTACCCTGTGCTATCTCTGCCGCTTTCTTATGGCACCTGGAAGCATAGATTTGATCTAAGGTGGGAAGAGTGCACCCAATTATTCTCTCTGCAGTCTTTACAACCCTGGATAGCATTGTTTTTTCCCTGGCCATGCAGCTCCCAAACCACACACAGACTGCTGCTGGCATTCAAGTTAGAACATAGTCATCATGGTGAGCAGCCCTTGATAACCTTGTCCTCTATAGATTTGTCCAATCCTCTGTTAAATCCATCCAAGTAGATGGCCACCCTTGCCTCTTGTGGCAGAGAGTTCCATAGGTTAACCATGCTCAACCATCTGACCTGCTGGGGATGCTCTGCTTAAACTTTGCAAACGCTCCCCATCTCTCCAGAGACTGCAAAAAGACATTCCTGGGCTACTGGGGAGGCAGATTGTAATACAACCCTTTTCCTAGCTGGGAAGGGCTGCCAAGCAAGTAACGTTTCAGGCGTTGTTGACAAAAAGCGAAATGAAAAAACGTTGCCAATAAAACTGTCACTTGAAGCACAAGCCACAACTCCACACAAAAAACAAGCAAAAAGAAACCAGCCTCTGTGCCGGTAAAGAGGCCTAGCAGGGGGATCTTATTTTATTTCCTTAAAGTGGGGAATCAATCAAAAACCACTAGTGTTGAACAGCGGGTGTCAATCAAATGGAACAGCACTCGCCTCCGCACGGCGGCGACGCAAAACATAAAACGATCCACTCAAATACTTGAGTAGGAGGGAATGTACTACATAGAAGGACCACGTGAAAGAGGTTTGTCCCAAATGGAAACTTGATCCATCTAGTGCCGTGCTATATATGCACGATCCTCTCAATGAAAGAGATCAGAAACTGAACCTAGAGGTCTTTCAGGAAGCAGAAGGCGAAACCAACGAGGTGGAGACATGCAATGACCATCTTCAAATATCTTAAGGGTTAGTAGAGTGCCTGTACTTCCTAGGGGAATTAATGTTATTAATTTATTACTTAATTAGTCACATCCATTCTGAAGGAAATCAGCCCTGAGTGCTCACTGGAAGGACAGATCCTGAAGCTGAGGCTCCAATACTTTGGCCACCTCATGAGAAGAGAAGACCCTGGAAAACACCCTGATGTTGGGAAAGATGGAGGGCACAAGGAGAAAGGGGACGACAGAGGACAAGATGGTTAGTGTTCTCGAAGCTACTAACATGAGTTTGACCAAACTGTGGGAGGCAGTGGAAAACAGAAGTGCCTGGCGTGCTCTGGTCCATGGGGTCACACAGCTCCATACAAATAGAGTTTGGATTTGATATCCCACTTTATCACTACCCGAAGGAGTCTCAAAGTGACTAACATTCTCCTTTCCCTTCCTCCCCCAGAACAAACACTCTATGAGGTGAATGAGGCTGAGAGACTTCAGAGAAGTGTGACTGGCCCAAGGTCACCCAGCAGCTGCAGGTGGAGGAGCACGGAATTGAACCCGGTTCACCAGATTACAAGTCCACTGCTCTTAACCACTACACCACAAACAGAAGACAGCGCCAGCAGATCCTGCCCCACCAAAAGAGGTCAGAAATACTTAAAAACCCTTCAAACTAAGGGCCAAGAGTGCCTTAAACTAAACTGAGAGGGCTCCAGGTGAGCCTTCCCAGGGAGGGCATTCCACAAGCAGGGAGCCACCACTGAATAGGCCTTGTGTTGCCTCCCTCCTGCGGAGGGGCACACAGGGTATTCTGTGCCCACTGGTTCAAAAAGGCTGGTGATCAAGGAGGGGCCATAGTTCAGTAGCAGAACATCTGCCTTGTCTCCCAACAACAGCTCAGCAATAAAGTTCCTGGCTCTCTAAACTCTACAATCTGATCAAAGCCGGTGTATTCAACTGTGGCTAACATAGTCATGAGTTGCAATATGCATTCCAGGCACAGAACTTGCGGTTCTGTTGGGCTGCAAAGCTGTTGCAGCAGCACACACACACACACAAAAAGTGCATGGTAGGAAAATTACAAAGGACATCCTAGTTTACACCAGCTTGGAGCTCCAGCAATTTTGTTACTTACCACATAATACAGCGACGAAGCAACGATTTGTCACTTGCTGCGTGATGCAATGATAACGCAACTGTATTGTGCATCGTAACGCGACAATTATTCACTTACCGCACAATGCAATGACGTGGCTGCTGTCTTCGTGCACAAACTTCCGGGTTACGGCTTCTTCCATGATCTGCTTCACCTGAACAGGAAGAAATAAAGAAGTTTATGCATGGAAAGTGACACTCGATGGGTCATAAGGACGCAGAGGGAGAACCTTAGAGAGTCCAGCAACAGGTTGGGCTGTTTGTCTAGGCAAGTTTCGCCTAAAGAGACCGCAGGCTTCCAGGGCCTCAGGCAGAGTGAGTATCTTCCCCCACAACCTGGTACCTGATTCCGTCATGACAGGGGATGCGAAGCATTGAGCACAGAAGTTTCACATGCAAATGTGCCCTGCTTCTCGGCTGCAAGACCCCAGCTCACTCAGTGGTGGAGCATCAGGCAGGCCTGAGAAAGCTCGGTTGGTAGAGCATGAGACTCTTAATTTCAGGGTTGTGGGTTCAAGCCCCACGTGGGGCAAAAGACACCTGCACTGCAGGGGGTTGGACTGAATGACCCTAATGGTCCCTTCCAACTCTACAATTCCACAATTCGACAACCTGCTATTCTATGCAAAAGATCCAAGGATCAGTCCTCAACAGTATCTCCTGGTAGGGTGACCTAGACCCTGCAGAGCAGCTGCCGGTCAGTGCAGACAACAGTGAGACAGATGCACCAATGTTCTGACTCAGTAGAAGGCTGAGGTCTCTGTCCTATGTTCCCATTGACTCTATGAATGAGAGGAATGTATTGGCCATCTATCCCAATGGCATTGCAGAGGGTTGGACAAGATGACCGCTGGGGTCCCTTCCAACTCAATGATTCTATGATTTTATCCCAGTATTAACCGCTTTGACTGGCAAAGATCGTCCAGGGTCTTGGGGACTGATTTTCCCTGGGTCGATGTCGAAGGAGACATTGCCAGGCTGCCCTCTGGTGCCCCCCTCATGCCAATGGGTGTCTCTGCCGATCCTTTATTTCCGCCAGATGACAGAGTGGTGAGCTCTTGCCACTAAGTCCTCTTAAGGGGGAGCAGTTAATTAGGAAAAGAGAAAAAGTAGCAGATGGAAAACTGCTAATTTTCCTCCGCTCCAAATCACCCCTCCAATCCTCCTAAAACAAGCAGCTGTCTTGAGGGACCTTTTATACCTGTTTCTGTCCAGCATGCAAGCCGGCTTTAATGTTCAGTCTAAGTGACAATCCCATGGCCCTCGCTGGTTTTTGCTGGGCGTTGCTGTGTCAGTCGATTAAAGAAAGCAGTGCTCTAACCCTGTGCTTTTGGCTGTTTTTCCGACAGCAGCAGAACAAAAACAAACAAATAAATCTCCACCCTGCGAGGAGGAGCCAAGCATCCCCGAAAGATGTCTCGCAGTGACCTTTCACGCCTGCCTTAGAACAAAGCCAAATGAGTGCAGGATCAGATCAAATTGAACAGGAGGCCGCGCAGGAAGGCACCGAGGGTTTCGTTTTTTTGTTTGCACTGACATTCTGTAGCAAGCACCACTGGGGGGAAAAGATGCTTGCCGACACAGCTGGACAGAAAGCAAATTGAAAGAAGAATTATTTGCAAGCAATTGGCCTAAGGCAGAGGAGGGAAGGAAAACGAAGGAGCACACTGAAACAGGCAAAAACCGCTGGAGGAAGAAGCATGAAGGCAGCGTTGCAAAGCTGCCACCACCACCCCCTCTTTGCTTGCTTTGGAAAATATTATTGTCTCTGGATCTCTGGGCCAAGCCGAATGTGAATGGGGAGCCACAGCCAGGTTTGCCTGTTTGATTGGTTATTCCTTCTTTTCTCAGCGTTCTGGCTGCAACCGCCATTCACCAGGCAGCCAAAACTACGCCACCTGTCCACAAAAGGAATGGGTCAGCAGACTTGAGATTGGCAGAAGCAGAACACTTTTTTAGGAAAAAATTCAGAGACACTGACTCCCGCCCCCCACCCCAAAACCCACATCCCATTTATGGGAGGTTGTGGTCTCTCCTTCCTTGGAGGGTTTTAAGCAGAGATGGCCATCTGTCATGGAGGCTTTAGTGGAGATTCCTGCACTGCAGGGGGTTGGACTAGATGACCGCCAGGATCCATTCCAACGCTACAATTCTGTGATTCTATGGTCAAATTCACTGGCTGGCTATGGAATGCTGGCTAAAGTCCCATCTGCACTACACATTTAAAACAGCATCATGCCACTTTAAATACAGTGGTACCTCGGGTTACATACGCTTCAGGTTACAGACTCCGCTAACCCAGAAATAGTACCTCGGGTTAAGAACTTTGCTTCAGGATGAGAACAGAAATCGTGCTCTGGCGGCGCGGTGGCAGCAGGAGGCCCCATTAGCTAAAGTGGTGCTTCAGGTTAAGAACAGTTTCAGGTTAAGAACGGACGAATTAAGTACGTAACCAGAGGTACCACTGTACTTTCAAACATGGCCTTTCCCCCAAAATCCTGGGAACTGAAGGGCACTGAGGGTGGTTTGAGAATCTCTATTCTGTCCACAGAGCTACAGTTCCCAAAACGCTTAAACAATCAATCCTTTTTTCCTGGGGAATTCTGTTTTGGGATGGGAGCATGACAGCTGGAAGCTCCAAACATCTGGAGGACACCCAGTTAGCGAAGTGTGTTTTAGAAGGACATTCAAACACAACTGGAGTCGGCCCCAAGTGCTTAACCAGTTCTGAGCCCAAGCGTTTGCTGCACAGGGCACTGAAGCCTGTCTAGGGTGTCTGTCCGAAAAGGAGGAGGCAGTGAGGAGTAAAAACACTGCAGGATAAATCCTATGGGTTTCTCAAAAACAAGCCATGCCAAATGAATCTCATTCCTTTGTTATGATAAGAGTTACAAGTTTGGTGGAACAGGTGGGTGCTGTGGACATTGTATGAAATGGCATCTCCCCGAAGCAGAAGGCGAGACTGTTGGATCCTGAAACCACTTGAGAAGCACGTTTGCGGTGTGGGAATGTGGGTGGGCTGCCAAAATCTTCCCAGGTTTCTGCACTCGAGTGAAAAGCGATGCAACACTTGGCAAGAGGCAGCTAGCTGCTAACCTGTTCTCCTCTCCCGCCAACCACGACCGGGCAACTTAAGAGGGGTGCAATGCCAAGAGGCTGCCCAGCCATAGCTGTCAACTGTCCCTTATTTAGCGGGAAACTCCCTTATCCCAGCGCTGTATCCAGCTGCTGTCCCAAATTGATGATGTCCCTTAAATTTCCCGGGTTTCATGCTTGTCCGGCTCGGGAGGGTAGCAGTGGCTCGGGGTCCTCCACCGCGCGAGAGAGCGTGTGCATGAGCTGCCGCGTCTCCGTCTCTCCCTTTTCCCCCTCAGGGGCGCATTGTGAGGAGACGGGTGGCGGCGGGTGGGCAGGCAGCCCCTCTCTTGCAAGACTTCCGCCGCGCTGCCAGGGGAAGCTGGAGGCGGCGGCGGCAGCTGAGGAGGCGGCCTGAGGGAGGAGGAAGAGGAGGGGACGGGGAGGGACGCAGAAGGGTGGAGCTTCAGCGGCCGCCACAGTGCCACAACCACCTCATGCCGGGCTCGCGGGAGGCGTGGGCGAGAGCCTCTCTCTCTCCCTCCCTCCCTCTCTTGGGCGGGGAAGGATCGATGGAACTCCTCCTGCCAGGACGACAGCAGCCCCAACGTGCTGCTTAGCATACCCTCCAACCAGTGCAGCATCTTAATGTAGTGATTTTCCCCTCTGCATTCCTTTCATAACTCTATTTTTACAAATCATTTGTCCATCCATAGTTCAAATTTTTACTACAAGTTTTCTGTCAATCCTACCAATGTATGTTTACAATACAATAGCTTTACAATAGCTTTTCAAATAAATGATAAACTTTCCCCATTCTTCCTGGTTTCTAATTCTGCCTGTAAGCTTTGCCATCTCGATGTCATTCATCAGTTTTGTCTGCCACTCTTCTTTGGTCGGAGTTGTAGACCCTTAGGATCATCTAGTCCAAACCCCTGCAAAACACACTCAGTTGCAGCAAAAGCAGCATGGCTCCATCAGTGCCAGACTTCTGTATAAGCTAAGCAAAATCCCTTATTTTGGCTGCTGATCCCTTATTTTCGAGGCTGCTGGTCCCTTATTTTCGAGGCTGCTGGTCCATTATTTTCAAATCTGTAAGTTGACAGCTATGTGCCCAGCACAGCTGACTCACAGCCACAGAATGTGTGGGCAGGCCGGAGAGGCAACAGCGCCGTGTGTTATAAAGGCCCAGCCAGCCGTGGATCTGATCCAGGAGGACACGAAAGCAGGACACAGGAAGCTACATCACCGAGGAGAAGACAGATAGCAGTTGCCAATACACTCCAGGCTTGGAGTTTGGTCCATCAGGGAGAAATCCATCACTGGAAGCCACAGAAGGATGGAAGAAGAAGCAGACGTCGAAGGATCAAGTGCTCTTGGCTAGCGGCTGCAGAGGATTTTGGTTGGACTTACTCTGCCATCAAGGAAGGAGCCAAGAGTCACACAGCCAAAGTGGACAAGCTGGCCCAGAACCAGCACGCTTGGAAAGCAAACACGGTTCAACCTGCATAAAGGCGAAAGGCTATTGGGAGATTATTTTATAATGAGTTTTTTTAAAAAAATGTTTGAAGTAATGATTTCCAAGAAACCTGAGGCCTTTCTGTTAGGTATAACTGGTCCAGAGCTTCCGAAGGAATTGTTTTAATTTGTTTAAGTATGCTACAACAGCGGCAAGAATAGTCCATGTGCAAAAGTGGAAAGAAGAAGTCCCAGCAAAAGAAGAACGGATACAAAAACTTATGGAATATGCAGAAATGGTGAAACTTGCTGGAAAAATAAGAAATCAAGACAAACTTTTTTATTAAAAAAGAAGAAGAATGGAAATGGTTTATTGAATATTTATAAATAAACTGTAAACAGATAAGAACATTGGCAGGATTATTGTAATAACCTGCAGTTTTATAAGAGTATATATTTAAAGTAGATGAATAAATGAGTAAATTAAGTTAATTTGGAAATTGCAGAAAATGCAAAAAAAATAAATTTAAGAAACCGCAGAAAGAGGGGGAAGGCAGTTGAGCTTTGAAATGTTAAAATGATTGTAAAATTACAGAAATGTATAAAATTGAAAATCATAAAT